GGGGGGAGGGGGGGAGGTGTCGGGAACCCGTCCCGGGCCCCGAGCATCGCCCGAAGGGCGCCCAGCCCCCGCCGTGCCCTTCCCGCCCCCCGGGCTGCGGCGCCTCCGCCGGGGCCCCGTCAGACTCCCGCGCTGTCGGTGACGTCGTGCCTCTGCCTCTGAATGACTTCTGAAAAATGTGAGAGAGGTTTAAAATCTCAAATGTCTTTTAATTCCTCCCCCCGAATGAAGAGTATGTAAATCGTTCCCTGCTTTTTCAATAAGGTATTTCAAACCTGCATGGCGTTTTACCTGCAAACGTGTAATTCCAGGTGTGCTAAGATCACAAATGAATCTCTTATCAGGTTTACTATGGGGAAAAAAAGAGATACCATTAGGCAAGATTAAATTATCTCATTGTTGTTACAATTCCCATTAAATACGAGAAGTCGTATCCCACATCTGTGGGATGTGTGTCCACACAATTTTTTATTAAGACTAATAAAGCAGGGGCTCACCCTGTGGCAAACGGGATTACTTATAAAACATGCATGGTACTAAGTGTGCAGTTATTACAGTAGCTGAGTTCCCACTCTGGTAAGTGCTACGTTGAGGTGACATGACGCATCTCCAGGCTGAAGTGTCTGCAGTCTTCATCCCAGCAGATGCCCGATGACCACCTCTATTCACTTGGAAGTTAAAGTGCCCAAATAAAAGTCTGTGAAGACAAGTCGGGGATACATTTCGTGAGGCGTTAGCTGCTCTTCAGATATTGAATTCCTCTGAATTGCTTTCCTCATTTTGTTCTTTAAACCTACCCGGCTAACCTACTCCACCATTGCTGACAATACACTTGTCTTCCATATTGCCTGTTTGTCTTGAAAAGCAAAGTTTCCAAGCCATCGCGTCTCTCGTTGCCTTTTCCATGTTTATTTTACTACTTCCTGTCTCCTTTTGCTCTGCAACCTTCTCCAATGGTTGACTTCACTTCTAAGACGTACCCAAACGGTGTTTTTTTTCCCTTGCAGCCACGCTGGGGATAGCCAGCAGACTGGCAGGTAGCAGAACGTGTCTGAAGATAAGCTCCTCTTGCCCTGCTTTTGAGGTTTCCCTTAACCCGCGTCTCTTCCACAGCAGTACAGCGCGGGGATAAAAAGGTACTACACGCTGAAAAGCTCAACTTTTGTCACTGTTAGTTATTATTTCTTAACGTACCAGCAGGGTCAGCTGCTGCGCCGCGGGGCCCGGGCAATGAGGGCTCTCCCCAACGGGAACGGCCGCCGTTCAAACCCCGCCCGCGGGGCCCCGCTGGGCCCCCTGCCAAGCCTGGCGAGGGCAGCGCGGCGGGAGGCCTCCCGGTGTGCCCCTCCTCCTCCTGGGCAGCCCTGGAGAAGCGGAGCCGGGGCACGTTT